CTCAAAATAGCTATTTTGAATTCTCCATCTGAAAGGTCACATATCTGTTTCTCCAGGATTGGACCCTGTTGCCTCACATAGTTCATTTGGTGAGGTCACGTTTTGTAGATGGTGTTGATGCTTGTAGATGTTCTTCAGTGTCCGGACATTAAAGAGTTAGGCACTTGTAATCTTCACAGTCTAGGCTTGTTTGTGCCTGTCCTTCTTGGGAAGGTTTTCCAGGTATTCAAAGGGACATGTGTCCCATGTCCAATAATGCTGTGCGTTTTGCAGACTTGCAGAGGTACTGCCTTGGTCTTTGATAGGATCCAAAAGAATTCTCTGGATTACCCAGAAGAGATTCTTATTCTTTTCCCTTACTTTCTCCCAGATACACAGGGTCTCACTCTCTCTGTGCTGATCCACCTGGAACTGGTGTGCATGGTGGGAGTAAGGCAAGCACCCCTGTGGCCACCACCGCTGGACTGAATTGGGTCAGACTTGATGCCAGCAGAGCACTGGGTTTTGCCCAAGGCTTTTTCCTTCAGCATAGCGAGTTCCCCAGGCCCTGGATATGTCTGCAAATGCTGTCTGGGAGCCAGGAATTGGAGTCAAAAACCTTACTTGATGTTTTGTTTTACTGCAGCTAAGCTGGCACTCAAATCACAATACAAAATCCTTCCCACTCTTCCCTCCCCTTACCAAAGGCAGAGGAGCCTCTTTTTGTGGCCACCACCACCACCATGGGGAGTTCTGCCAGGCCACTGCTGATGTTTGCTTAAAGCCCAAGGACTCTTCTATCAATTTGTGGTGAATACTGCCAGGCTTGGGACTCACCCTTTAGGGCAATGGCCTCCGCTATAGCCCAGGGCAGGCCCAGATGTGCTGTCCAAGAGCTTAGGCATGGACTTAGGCCTGCTCATTTCTATATCTCACTGTAGCCAAGCTGGTAGCTAGGGTGCAATAAAAAGTTTCTTTACTCTTCCCTCTGTTTTTCTCAAACAGGAAACTTTCATTGTAGTCACCACAGCTGGGAATATGCTGAGTCTCTCCTAAAGCTAGCATGTCTCAGAGCCCAAAGCCCATGGCATATTCCCTGAGTATCACTGCTGATTATTCAAAGACCAAGGTCTCTTTAGTTAGCAGGTGATGAACCCTGCCAGGACTGGGTCTTTTCCTTCAAGGCAATGGCTCCCTTTCTCCCAGGGTGAGTCTAGAAATGTCATCCAGTAACTAGGGCCAGGAATGGGGGTCTCACAACTCCGCCTGGTACCGTGTCCTACTGTGACTTAGCTGATATCCAAGATGCAAGGCAAAGTCTGCTTTACTCTTCACTCTCCACTTCTTAAGCAGAAGGAAGGAGTCACTTTCATTGCTACACGCTGCTCTGCCTGGGGTTGGGGGAGGCATAGTGCAAGTTCTCCCTTAGCCATGCCAGCTGGTGTCTCCCTAGGTCACCTGTCATCCTAGTTCACTGGTTCTAAGCCCACACTAGCACTAGGAGTTGCTTAGGGATTACAGTCCTTGTGCCCTAGACTGCTTTTCAAGTTTACCTAGGACTACAGAGCACTTCAGCCTGCGGTGGCGAGGCTTGGCAAGAAACTCATGTTCTGAGTGCTGGGATGGGTGATTCTTCTCTGGCTAGGGCTGGTCCAAATGGTCCCTCTGTGTGCAGGCACTGGCTGAGCCTAGCATGGGTTTATCCTCTGCTTTGACAGGGCAGCACTGAGTTCAATGCCAAGTCCCCCAGTCACTGTACTCTCCCTTCCCAAAGTGCACAGATTCTACATGCTTCATAGCCACTGCCAGGGAATGGAGGAAAGATGGCAAAGGTGATTCTAGACTGTCTCTCCTGGCTTCCTCGATGCCTCTGTCCATGATATTAAAGTTAAAACTAGGTACTGTGACTGCTCATCAGCTTTTCGGTTCTCGTGAAGGTGCTTTTCTGTGTGGCAATAGTTGTTAAAAATTTGATGTTACAGCACAGGGGGACAAAGAGTGTAGGCTTCTATTCTGCCCTCTTGCTCCACCTTCCACCTCCAAAATTTAAAATGGAATATATTCAAA